GAGGCGGCGGCGGCGGGGGTGCTGGTGCGGCGGCGGCGGCTGAGCTGTGGTGCCCGGCGGCGCCGGAGACGAGCTGCTGCATCGCGGCGCTGATCCGAGCGGAGGGCCGCCCGCCATGCGCCGCCCTCGCCCCGCTGCCTAGCGGCGCGGCGGCCGTGCTGGGGATGCGCGGCGGCGCCGGGCGGGCGGGCAGCGGCTCCCTGCTGCGCTGCGGCTGAGCCGGGGGCCGCTCGCCGGGAAGGCCCAGCATGGCGGAGGAGGCGCCGCCCGCGCCCGACGGACCCAGCGGAGCCCCCCTGCCCGCCCTGGTGCCCGGCCTGCAGGGCGCGGAGGCCGGGGCGCTGCAGCACAAGATCCGCGGCTCCATCTGGTGAGTGCCGGGCGGGGGGCGGCGGGCGGCGGGCGGGGGGCGCCCTCCGGGACCAGGCCGGGGACGCGGCCATTGTCTCCGCGGCGCCGGGGACGGGCCGGATCCAAGATGGAAGACAAAATGGCCACGAGGCCCCCCCCGCCGCCGCCGTGCCTTTGTCTGCCCGGCCGCCGCGCGGGCCCCGCGGAGGAGGGATCGGTCCCGGCGTCCCCAGCGGCGTCCCGGAGCAGCCCCGCCCCGCCCGAGCCCTGACCCGGCCCGGGGGCGGAGGCGGCGGGCCTGCCTGGCCGGGCTGTCGTGCCTGCTCCGAGGGGCCCGGCCGCCGCCCACCCCGGCCTCGTCCCCGTGAGCGCCGGGCGCCCCTCCGCGGAGGGCAGTGGGGGGAGGGCGCGCTCGTCCTCCGGGCAGCGGCGTTGGGCGGGCTGAGCGGCCGGCCGGGGAGATGCCCGTCGGGCTCTCGCGGCGTCTTCTGGAGGGGCCCCGGGAAGCTGTCCCGTCCCCCCCAGGGCCTGGGCGGGCTTCTTAAGGCCAACGAGCGAGCCCCGGTGAGCCGCTTGTCTGCCGCTTTCTGGCGGACGTTTATAAATGCTGAGCCGCTGATGGGTGGTGGTGGGGGGGAGATGTCAACCGTTTGTCAGGTGCGTTGCATTGTTGCTTTTTGCTGCAAGCTGCTTTAGAGCCGGGAAGATCGGAACACCGGAAAAGCCTTTTACACAGTAAATTAGCCAAACGTATTTGGAAAGACTTGGTGGTGGCTGTGCCATATCTGGACTGGGTGGCTTTATGTACCTGGATGGAGGAAAAAGACCAGGGACCTCAACAGCAGCACATGTGCCATAAAATGAGTTTTTCAACCCAAGGTGGTCCATGAGCAAAAACAATAATGCCGCTGAAACCTGCTGGGTCCCTCCGTGACTCACAAGTGACACACTACCTCCAGCCAGGCCCACCAGAAGAGTCCACCTGCCTACCAAAAGCCCGTGGGGTGGGATGGGTTCTCCTACAGGGGGTTATCACACATAATAATAAAAAAATAATCTCAACAGAAATGCTGATGATAAATTGGAGCCATTTATTTAGCTATTGTGGGCAGCCGACAGGACGAATGGCATTCTTTTACAAGGGGCTTGCTTTTAAATGTTTTCATAGAAGTCCACAGGATCACGTTAACTAATGGCGTCACTTTTTCTTATAGCTGATAATAGCTATTTATCAATTTCTACACAGCTCATTTCAGCTGTGACTCTGAATGGTTTACAAATAACATTTGTGACCTTAAGCCAGTCCTTCTCTCTTAGCGCAGCCTACCTCTCAGACTTGTTGTGGGGAAAATAGGAAGCTGTGTGGGATCTGTTCACCGCCTTCGGTTATTTGTAAAAATAATAAAGGCAGGTTACAAGTAAACAGTGTTACAGCGACGATAAATCTTCATCTACAATACTCTTGTGGGCCATACATCCCAACAAAGTACCATAGAAAATTAAAGCAAACGTTCAAATGGATTAAGGCAAAAAAAAAAAAAAAAAGTAATGTGCAAAATAATTTATATCAAGTCGGAGACCAGTCAATTGATGTCATAGAACGCCTGCATATTCTCAGATGCTGATTGAATAAAAGGAAAAGCCCTCAGAAACACAAAGCACATCAAATTGCTTCAAAGAAAGGGGCATTCCAGGGGGGGGCTCCCCCCACCCCCACATAGGACTGGCCTGTCCAAGAATGTCCCAGTGGGTGGTGGCAGTGGCAGCCGGGGAGAGAAGGGAGAAGGTGGCATCAAAGGCAGAAAAACAGCCACCCCACAGCAGAGCTAAGCAACAGCCATCAGCCCTGCCTCTTGCAGTCCTTGGCATTCTGGAGCTTGCATTAAGCACCTCACCCCACCCCGCTGTATTTGCACAACACCCTAATCCCTGTTTTCTTCAACAGTTTATTTGTCATTTCACCTTGCTCTGTTTTTCCTCCGGGAGATCGTTTCAGCCCTTTTGTTCCATCTCAGTGACATGCTGCCCCTCCGCCCCCCAAATGGGCATCACGTGGCTAAGGTGTTTTTTTGGTTGGGGGGAGTCATGCAGAGAGTGGTGACCGAGACAGGGAGGGGCACCTTTCATCCAAGCCCCGTGACAGCCGATGCAGACCCTTCTCTTCTTGCTCCGCAGTGGCTGAGAAGGTGCCTGTGGCCGCTGCTTCTCCCTCTCTCTCGAAATGGTGCCATTTTTCCTCCAACGGATTCTTTGCGTGAAAGGAGGCGCAGCCAAGCCCACCACTGCAAGGCCATGTGGTGGCTTTGTTTTGTCTGGCTGCCTGGCGCTGCATTTTTCCTCCGGTTGGATGAAAAGGCTGGAGATTCTCCTTTTCTCCTTCACGGATGGAACGGAAGATTGTCCGGGCTTCTGCTGCCTTTGGAGATTTAATCTCTGGGCTTCTGCTTTATTTTCGCTTCGTTAAAGCTTTTATGCTAATCGTTTTTGTGTCCGCAAGGAAGATTCGCCTCTCTGTGGATGTGGGAGTTTAGGTGAATTTTGGGAGGATAACAGGAGGGGCGTGGCCCCGAGATGGCAGAAGACACCTGGGATCCTCATGGCCCGGAGAGTCAGCCAGGCATTGTGTGGGGGTTGCTGGAACCTGTCCTGCTTTTCATACAGCACAAATCGGGTGTGGGGAGGAAAACCCGAAAGAGTTTGAGAATTCATGACCAAACAGCAGAGAACAGGAGGGAGGCATTGAGTTGGGGGGAGGCAAGTTGGCCCCACGGATACAGAAGGCAGGCAGAAAAACATGGCTTGCAAGCTGTGGGGCCATATGGGGGGGGCTTTTACAGAGGCAGAGCATCAGGACTAGGGGGAGCTCAGCCTGACCTGTTTCCACGGCTGCCTCGGTTATCTCGGGCGTGCCCCTGACCTGCACAACAGCACTGCTCTGCATGACTGACGGCCTCGGGGAGCTCCTGCTGCAGGTGCCACTCACAAGTCTGTCACTCTTGGTATGGGTGTGACCTCCTCCCCCACCCCCGTTGCTTTGGAATGCCCCCTAAACTTATCAAGTAGCCCTGAGGACAACTGGGGTCCCTTTGGGCTGGGTGGAGGAGCTGCAAGCAACCCAGGCAGGCACTTACCCTTGGTGGCAAGGAAAGGAGCTGTGGCCTCGTGGGTTGGGTGCCTTTCCTAGACATTGTAGAGCTGCATTTTCCTGGGCAGTTGGCTTTTCTGCCCCCCTGCTGCTCCTGTGTGGCCAGTGGGCCTTCCTTGCTTCAGATCCCAGCCCAGCATCAGCTGCGCTGGGCAGGGAAGGGAAGGCTGACTCCCTTGCAGAGCAGGATGGGGTGTGGGGTGCAGCTGCTGAAGGCAGATGCTGGCAGACTCAGCCCAGGGTGGAAATGCCGCTGCTCCCCCTTGTTTGGGCTTTGCTCCTCCCATGTCCTGGTGGCTTTCTCTTGCCATGGCACGGGGGGGGGGGGGGGGGGGGCCAGCCCCCCCCCCCCCGCCCGGCCTTTCCCGGCCCCGCGGGGGGGGGGGGGGGGGGCGGGGGGGGGGGGGGGTGGCAGCATCAGGCTGCTGTGCCTGAAGCCCGAGGGCTGGACTAGCATGAAATTGGGGGCTCAGGAGAGCAGGGAGACGAAGTGTGTGAGGCCGAACCAGCAAAACAGAGAGTGCACCGTTATGGCTGGTAGGACTCATTGCCACAAGACGAGGCAATGGTCAGGGGGCTGGCTGGCTTTGAATGGGCTTCAGTTGACTGAGGAGAGGAAGCTGAGGGGGCAGCGGCCTTGCAGTGGCCTTCCTCGTGGAGGGAATTTAGGTGCCACCCCCCCCCCCGGGGTGAGAATTACAGGGGCAGAATCGGATCAGAGGTATTTTCTGCTTTCTGTGGTTGAGCCAGAGAAGGTGCATTCAAGGTGGATTGTGGATTGTCCTGTCTCAGCTGGGACATTCCTGGCCAGGCTGCTTCTCCACAAACAGGGAGTGGCCACTCCTGACGGTCATCTTGCCTCTCTTCTCTGGACCGGAGGCTTCCCGAGGAGCTGAGCTGTCCGGAGTTTGGCAGCATTCTTCCTCTTCTGGTCTCCTACACACTTGGAAAAGCACCGGTCAGCGGGTCTAACATTATATGCGCCTCACACACTGAAAGTGATCTCCAGGCCTGGTGTTGTCCACTCCTTAAATAAAGGCATTCAAAGACGAAAGGATGGAGAGAGAACATTCTTCAAGATTCTGATTGATTAAAGCAGGG